CACGACATTTCCTTCACCACTTCGGTCACAACGGTACACACTTAATAATCATCTCTCTTAAGATCAGGAAGATGGTTTCTCTTTGTTAAGAAACAGATAAAGTCATCTAGCTGGTATTCAACTGCCAGTCTTTCTTTGTTTCTTACTGACTAACAAAATTTATAGTATATTTTATTTTATTTGTAAGCTTTAAAAACTCTTGGCTCTATTCTTTACTTTCTACTATCTTTCCCTTATTCTCTCCTAACCTATTCTACTATTCTGTCCTATTTTTACCTTTATCACAGTTGTTGTTGTTGTCGTTATATTTAAAACAATTATTATTATTATTGTTATTATTATTATTATTATTATTATTATTAGATTTTTTATCTTCATTTTTGTCTCCGTCAAAAAAAATCGTTATATTGTTATTATTATTGTTACTATTATTATTATTACTGATTATTATTATTCTTATTTTTCTTCTTTTGTTAAGCTTATTCATACATGCATGATGTTCTTTCTATAGGTTACTTAACTAATCATGTCATGATATCTTTCTTATATACATGTATTGTATACATGTATGCATGCTTTTATTCATTTTACAGTTGTTGTAGTTGTTGTGTAACTAGTGTGATAGTTTGTTCTTTTCTAAGAGATTTTTTATCCTTAAAGTTATTCTTCTCCCACGCCATTTCCTTCATCACTTCGGTCACAACAGTGCACACTAAATAATCAGCTCTCTTAAGATCAGAAAGATGGTTTCTCTTTGTTAAGAAATAGATAAAGTCATCTAGCTGGTATTCAACTGCCAGTCTTTACCACTGGAAACATTTGCTGTATCTGTCTGCAACCTTCTTGACCTTCATTGTCCTTCAAACTATATTGATATCTAATCTTCAGTATTTGAGTTCTTATCAGCTAATACTCAACACAAAGGACCAGCAACTAAAATCAAATCTATAATACACAGTAAAATGAGTTAAAGAAACAATTCAAAGAACCACTTAGTTGAATGAAGCAGGACGTTTCTTGATAAATGAAAAGGTGAAAAACATTTCAGATTTGATAGAAGATCACACTTTAAGATCAATTCTCTTGAATGAGCAAAATCAATGACATGATAGTTTATTAGTGTCTGTTGTCTTGTTATTTCTTGTTTGTCCAAAGACCTGCATCAGTCACCTTCATACCACAGGTCTTGTTCAGGATCCAGTTGTCTCCCTCTCTCTTCTCAGTTGATACCTATAGCTCTCTCCTCTCCTTCAAGTATTCCTCTATCAGTAGTTGTCTGTCTCCTTGATGGAGGTCTGTCCCCTGCTATGTGTTCTTCCTATGATGCTCTCATTCCATACTTGATCTTGAGTCTGGGACTACTGTCAGTTCTTTACTGACTTCAATGAGCTGTGTCCTTTCAATTGACAGCTCATGCTTCCTTCTTCCTCACTCACACGTGTTACTTGAACTGATATGTACTTATTAATGAGTGTGCCCGACGTGACAGTCAATAGGACAAATATACAGGTATTGTATGTACAGTGATAGTATTTACAATGATAGTACATGCAAGTATAATGGTAAATTGTGAACAATAATCAAATTTATGTGCACTATAATTAATCTTTATAACTTTGATACAGATGTACACATGTACATTGAAAATTGAGAGGCACTAACCACTGATTAATGACTAAAATATGGGAATTTTTGATATTAAATGTTCTACAGTATTCTTCTAGTAAGTTACACTTCAGCATAATACATGTATTAATGGGACAAGACACTGTAACACAAGTCAGGTGAGTGGTCACAAAGACAAGATGAACCATGAAATGTTCTACATTCATTAACTTAATAAATAAATCATTGAATGATTGAAGAATCCATGTAGAATGATGTACATGTATCATTAATATAAAAGCTCTAAATAATACTAAACTATTGACTATACTCATATTAATTACACAAGTCATTATGCTGTATTGAAATGGGATTCAATTATGATTGTGACAAGGTCTTATCAAAACAACTTACATGTACATGTATTCTCATTAGCAGCTAAAACATAAACAGAGAATTATTCACAGGTTAGTTTGTACATAGTTTGTAAGCCTTAAAAACTACCAAAGGGTAGAAAGAAGGTAGGGTTGGTAACTTTCGTATGGGCCACACCCCCTAAGCTTGCAACACAAATAAGTGATGGTCAAACTGAACCCGAGGCTAGCAGAGCTGCATTTGCCCCGAGCATGGGGTCCGCCTCTACA